CAGAGGTGTGCCTGGGAGTGTCAGAGGTGTGCCTGGGGTGTCAGAGGTGTGCCTGGGAGTGTCAGGGGTGTGCCTGGGGAGTGTCAGGGTGTACCTGGGAGTGTCAGAGGTGTTCCTGGGGTGTCAGAGGTGTGCCTGGGGAGTGTCAGAGGTGTGCCTGGGGTGTCAGATGTGCCTGGGAGTGTGGGGTGTGCGTGGGAGTGTCTGAGGGTGTGCCTGGGAGTGTCAGGGGTGTACCTGGGGAGTGTCAGAGGTGCCTGGGAATGTCAGAGGTGTATCTGGAAGTGTCTGGGGTGTACCTGGGGAGTGTCAGAGGTGTGCCTGGGGTGTCAGAGGTGTACCTGGAAGTGTCAGAGGTGTGCCTGGGAGTGTCCAGAGAGGTGTGCCTGGGAGTGTCAGGAGGTGTACCTGGGGTGTCTAGGGTACCTGGGGAATGTCTGGGGTGTGCCAAGGAGTGTTAGGGTGTGCCTGGCAGTGTCCAGTGTGCCTGGGAGTTGTCAGAGGTGTGCCTGGGGAGTGTCGGAGGTGTGCAGTGTCAGAGGTGTGCCAGAATGTCAGTGGGTACCTGGGGTGTCAGAGGTGTGCCTGGGAGTCAGAGGTGTGCCTGGGAGTGTCAGAGGTGTACCTGGGGAATGTGAAAGTGTGCCTGGGGGTGTGAAGTGTGCCTGGGAGTGTCGGAGGTGTGCCTGGGTGTCAGAGGTGTGCACCAAGTGTCAGAGGTGTACCTGGGAGTGTCAGAGGTGTGCCTGGGAGTGTCAGAGATGTGCCTCAGGTGTCTGAGGGTGCTGGGGTGTCTGAGGGTGTGCCTGGGGAGTGTCAGAGGTGTGCCTGGGAGTGTCAGGAGGTGTGCCTGGGGGTGTCAGAGGAGTGCCTGGGAGTGTCAAGGGTACCTGGGGTGTCCAAGGTGTGACCTGGTAGTGTCAGTGGTGTGACCAGTGTCAGAGTGACGGAGTGTCATTGGTGTTCCTGGGTGTCATTGGTGTAACTGGTAGTGTCAGAGGTGTGCCTGGGAGTATCATGGGTGTGCACCGGGAGTGTCAGGGTGTGCCTGGGAGTGTCAGGGGTGTGCCTGGGAGTGTCAGGGGTGTGCCTGGGAGTGTCAGGGGTGTACTGGGAGTGTCAGGGGTGTAACTGGGAGTGTCGGAGGTGTAACTGGGGTGTCAGAAGGTGCCTGGGGTGTCAGAGGTGTGCCTGGGAGTGTCAGTGGAGTGCCTGGAATGTCAGAGGTGTACCTGGGAGTGTTGGGGATGTGCAGGGAGTGTCTGAGGTGTACTGGGGAGTGTCAGGGGTGTGCCTGGGGTATCAGAGAGGTGTGCCTGGGGAGTGTCAGTGGTGTGCCTGGGGAGTGTCAAAGGTGTGCCTGGGAGTGTCAGAGGTGTGCCTGGGGAGTGTCAGGGTGTGCCAGGGGTGTCAGTGGAGTACCTGGGGTGTCAAAGGTGTGCCTGGGGTGTCAGAGGTGTGCCTGGGAGTGTCAGGGTGTGATAGGGGAGTGTCAGAGGAGTACCCAGGAGTGTCAGAGGTGTTCCTGGGAGTATCAGAGAGGTGTATCTGGGAGTGTCAGGGGGTGTACCTGGGGTGTCAGGGGTGTACCTGGGGAGTATCAGAGGTGTGTCTGGGGTGTCAGGGGTGTACCTGGGGGTGTCAGGAGGTGTTCCAGGAGTGTCAGAGGTGTATCTGGGAGTGTCAGGGAGTACCTGGGAGTGTCAGAGGTGTGCCTGGGGTCTCAGAGGTGTGCCTGGGAGTGGTGGTGTGCCTGGGGTGTCAAGGTGTGCCTGGGGAATGTCAGAGGTGTGCCTGGGAGTGTCCAGAGTGTTCCTGAGAGTGTCAGAGGTGTGCCTGGGAGTGTCAGAGTGTGCCTGGGGTGTCAGATGTGTGCCTGGGGTGTCTGGGTGTGCCTGGGGAGTGTCTGGGGTGTGCCTGGGAGTGTCAAAGTGCCTGGGAGTGTCAGAGGTGTGCCTGGGAGTGTCTGGGGTGTACCTCAGGTGTCAGGTGTGCCTGGGGTGTCAGGGGTGTGCCTGGGAGTGTCAGGGGTGTGCCTGGGAGTGTCAGGGGTGTACCTGGGAGTGTCAGGGGTGTGCCTGGGGAGTGTCAGGGGTGTGCCTGGGTGTCAGGGGTGTGCCTGGGAGTGTCAGAGGGGTGTCCTGGGGAGTGTCAGGGGTGTGCCTGGGAGTGTCAGGGTGTGCCTGGGGGTGTCTGGGGTGTGCAGAAGGTAGAGGTGCCTGGCAGTGTCAGGGGGTGTCTGGGTGTCAGAGGTGTACCTGGGGTGTCAGAGGTGTGCCTGGGGTGTCAGAGGTGTGCCTGGAGTGTCAGAGGTGTACCTGGGAGTGTCAGAGGTGTTCCTGGGGTGTCAGAGGTGTGCCTGGGGTGTCAGAGGTGTACCTGGGAGTGTCAGATATGTGCCTGGGAGTGTCTGGGGTGTACGTGGGGAGTGTCTGGAGGTGTGCCTGGGAGTGTCAGGGGTGTGCCTGGGAGTGTCAGAGGAGTGCCTGGGAGTGTCAGAGGTGTATCTGGAAGTGTCTGGGGTGTGCCTGGGAGTGTCAGAGGTGTACCTGGGAGTGTCAGGTGTGCCTGGAAGTGTCAGAGGTGTGCCTGGGAGTGTCAGAGATGTGCCTCAGGTGTCTGGGGTGTCCGGAGTGTCTGAGGTGTGCCTGGGGAGTGTCTGAGGGTGTGCCTGGGGAGTGTCTGAGGTGTGCCTGGGAGTGTCTGAGGTGTGCCTGGGGTGTCCTGGTGTGCCTGGGGTGTCTGAGGTGTGCCTGGGGTGTGGGGTGTGCCTGGGAGTGTCAGGAGGTGTGCCTGGGGAGTGTCAGATGTGTGCGTGGGGTGTCTGGGGTGTGCCTGGGGTGTCTGGGGTGTGCCTGGGGTGTCAAAGGTACTGGGAGTGTCAGGGGTGTGCCGGGGGTGTCTGGGGTGTGCCTCAGGTGTCAGGTGTGCCTGGGGAGTGTCAGGGGTGTGCCTGGGGAGTGTCAGGGGTGTGCCTGGGGTGTCAGGGGGTGTGCCTGGGAGTGTCAGGGGTGTGCCTGGGAGTGTCAGGGGTGTGCCTGGGAGTGTCAGGGATGTGCCTGGGAGTGTCAGGGATGTGCCTGGGGTGTCTGGGGTGTGACCTGGGAGTGTCAGAGGAGTACCTGGCAATGTCAGGGGTGTGTCTGGGAGTGTCAGAGGTGTGCCTGGGAGTGTCAGAGGTGTACCTGGGGAGTGTCAGAGGTGTACCTGGGAGTGTCAGAGGTGTTCCTGGGAGTGTCAGAGGTGTGCCTGGGAGTGTCAGAGGTGTGCCTGGGAGTGTCAGATGTGTGCCTGGGGTGTCAGGGGTGTGCGTGGGAGTGTCTGAGGTGTGTGCCTGGGGTGTCAGGGGTGTGCCTGGGAGTGTCAGAGGAGTGCCTGGGATTGTCAGGGGTGTATCTGGAAGTGTCTGGGGTGTGCCTGGGGTGTCAGAGGTGTGCCTGGGGTGTGAGGTGTGCCTGGAAGTGTCAGGGGTGTGCCTGGGGTGTCAGAGATGTGCCTCAGTGTCTGGGGTGTGCCTGGGAGTGTCTGGTGTGCCTGGGGAGTGTCTGGGGTGTGCCTGGGGTGTCTGAGGTGTGCCTGGGGTGTCTGGGGTGTGCCTGGGGTGTCTGGGGTGTGCCTGGGAGTGTCAGGGAGGTGTGCATGGGGTGTCAGAGGTGTGCCTGGGGTGTGAGGGAGGGCCAGGGAGTGTAGAGGTGTGCCTGGGGGTGTCTGGGGTGTGCCTGGGGTGTCTGGGGTGTGCAGGTGTCTGGGGTGTGCCTGGGGAGTGTCGGAGGTGTGGCTGGGGAGTGTCAGAGGAGTACCTGGGAGTGTCAGTGGTGTACGTGGGAGTATCAGAGGTGTGCCTGGGGTGTCGGGGTGTAACTGGGAGTGTCGGAGGTGTAACTGGGGAGTGTCAGGTGTGCCTGGGGTGTCTGGGGTGTGCCACCAGGTGTCTGGGGTGTGCAGGGTGTCAGAGGTGTGCAAGTGTCAGGGGGTGTGCCTGGGGTGTCAGGGTGTGCCTGGGAGTGTCAGGGTGTGCCTGGGTGTCAGGGGGTGCCTGGGAGTGTCGGGGTGTGCCTGGGGAGTGTCAGAGGTGCCTGGCAATGTCAGGGGTGTATCTAGGAGTGTCTGATGTGTATCTGGGGAGTGTCTGAGGGTGTGCCTGGGGTGTCAGAGGTGTGCCTGGGGTGTCAGAGGTGTGCCTGGGGAGTGTCGGTGTGCCTGGGGAGTGTCAGGTGTGCCAAGTGTCATTGGTGTGCCTGGGAGTGTCAGTGGTGTGCCTGGAGTGTCAGAGGTGTGCCTGGGAGTGTCAGGGGTGTGCCTGGGGAGTGTCAGGGTGTGCCTGGGGAGTAGGGGTGTGCCTGGGGTGTCAGGGGTGTGCACCAGTGTCAGGGGTGTACCAGGGTGGAGGTGTACCTGGGAGTGTCAGGGGTGTCACCAGGAGATTCAGAGGAGTACTGGGAGTGTCAGAGGTGTGTGGGAGTGTCTGGGGTGTGCCTGGGAGTGTCAGAGGTGTGCCTGGGGAATGTGGGGTGTGCCCAGGTGTGGGGATGTGCCTGGGAGTGTCGGGGTGTGCATGGGGTGTCAGGGGTGTGCCTGGGTGTCAGAGGGTGTGCAAGTGTGTCGGTGTCAAGGTGTGCCTGGGGTGTGCCTGGAAGGTGCCAGGGGAGTGTCGGTGTGTGCCTGGGGAGTGTCAGGGGTGTGCCTGGGGGAGTGTCAGAGGGTGTGCCTGGGGTGTCAGGAGGTGTGCCTGGGAGTGTCGGAGGTGTGTCAGGGGTGTCAGAGGGTGTGCCAGGGAGTGTCAGAGGTGTGCCTGGGAGTGTCAGAGGTGTGCCTGGAGTGTCAGGGTGTACCTGGGAGTGTCGGAGGTGTGCCTGGGAGTGTCGGAGGAGTACCTGGGAGTGTCAGAGGTGTACCTGGGGAGTATCAGAGGTGTGCCACGAGTGTCAGGGGTGTACCTGGGAGTGTCGGAGGGTGTACCTGGGAGTGTCAGAGGAGTGCCTGGGGAGTGTCAGAGGTACCGATAAGCCTATTGTCGAACCAGGTCATACGCAGGTTGTAGCTGACAGAGATCAACATGGTGGTGGTGTCAATATTGATAGTGTCCATGGAGACGTTGACAGATATTGGCAGCGATAGATCCGATACTGTGAGGGAGGAAGTGATGTTAGCAGAGAAAGAGACAGACAGCTAGACAGACACAGACAGAAATTCGATACTGTGAAGAGAAAAAATGTTTGGAGAGACAGACAGGCAGATCCAACACTACGAGGAAAAGAAAAGAGAGAGATAGACATAGGGAAAGAAAAGAATAAGAGACAGACAGACAGACAGACATACCCTGTACAGACAGGACAAAATTTATCTTTACATTCAAACACATCTTTCGTAAAACAACTTAAACATGAAACAATAAAACAAAATAAACAAGATTAAATCACAATAAACCTTTATACATTTTACCTGGTCTAGGAGGCAGTTTAGACCTGTAGTCCCCTGGAAAGTTGACAATATCACAGAAGCTTTCATCCGTCTTGTCACCACAGTCAAATTTCAGATCACAGCGTCTAGCGAATGATATACAGGTGCCGTCAGTACAGGTAAATTCTCCAGCTGTACAGGGTGAGAGTGTGAGTTGCCTCTTTCCTGATTCTTGTCCACATACTGGATCCTGGAAGTACGTATGTCTGTCAAGTCATCTCTTTGGAATTATAGTATAAAAAAAGTATGGTGTATTAACTCTTGCATGAATGTACTGTATGTCTTTTTGATTGATTCTTGTCAAAACACTGTTTGTTAAAAGGGGAAAGGTGAATTAGGTTAGGTTAGGTTAGGTTAGGTTAGGTTAGGTTAGGTTAGGTTAGGTTAGGTTAGGTAAATACTGAACTAGTAACGAATTATCCTAGAACACATTTGACGTCACTATAAAATTCCATCACAATCTACCAACAGAAGTAAACTCACCTTGATGTCCCAGGTCTGTCTACCGATGGGGTAATTAAGGTGTTCCTGTACAGGTAAGACAGCCTTGGTGATGTTAGTAATGCTATCATACCAGGTCCAAACGTCGCCCACCTTCTCCACCATGTATTCACCATAACCTCGGAAGTAGAGTGGGAAGGCCACCAGGTCGAAGTAGTACATGCGCTGTGTGGTATTAGAACCCTTAAGTATGATGGTTTAAACCTTTGAGTATAATTATTTAAACCATAGAGCATGATGGCTTAACCTTTCAGTATGATGGTTTAACCCTTTGAGTATGATATCCTAGCGACTTAATCCAGTGAGTAAAATACATTAACCCTTTGAGTATATTTTAATCCCTTAAACATGTGGTTTAACCCTTTGAGTATGATGTTTTAATGATTTAATCCAACGAGTACAATATATTAACCCTTAGAATATGTTTTAATCCTTTAATTATGTGGTTTAACCCTTTGAGTATGATGGTTTAACCCCTTCAGTATGATGGTCTACCCATTGAGTATGTCTTAATCCTTTAAATATGTGGGTTAACACTTTGAGTATGACGGCTTAATCCGTTATCTATATGCTGATTTAGCTTTACCCTTTGAGTATTCTGCTTTTAACATTAACCCTTTAAGTATAATAGCTTAAATTATTTAGTACAATTATTTGTCCCCGGAGGACAGGGTCATTGTACTCAAGGGGTTAATTTATCTTACTCAAGAGGTTAAATAATCATACTCAAGTGGTTAAGTCATCTTATATAATACATAACTATACATAATACTGTGTATAACTATACATAATACATACCTATACATAGTGGCAATACATAATCAATAACAGCATACATATTGTACATACTCGCTGAGTTTCCTTTTTTATCATTATATCACCACTAGCTGTTCGGGGGTTGTCCTGTCCAGTGTTGGTAAAGGAGAAAGTGGAAAACACCGTTCCCACGTGTGTCTCTGGCCAGGACTAAGGGCCGGATTGATAGTCATTACGAAGCACAATGCCAATTGATAGTGTTCGTGCTGGTCTATTACTAGTCATCCCGATAAACGAGGTATCGGAAGGGAACCATACGCATATCCCTGAAATGTTGGAAACAACATCGGGTGGCTACCCCCACCCGATAGCTGCCTTACGACAAATAATAATCATCATTATATTTTATGAAAGTTCTTCCAGTACTTTATATTACAGATGTCTACGTCGAATTATATTATTTTTTTTGATAAGAACAATTAAAAGAAGTGTTAATACGGATAAATGAACTTTCACAACACTGTTATGAACTTGAAACATTATTGGAATGTTGACGTCACAGCTCCGACTTCGATGTGACTGCTGTCTGTGCTGTGAGCCTCATCTTCAATTAACAATTACTTCTGTTATCATTTAAGATATGTTTCTTATCTTTATTCAGTCATACAATATTTTTGTCGTAGTAGTAATAAAATTTCAACCATCTGAACCGGGAAATTCACTTATGTTTTCCGGAATGAGGCAAGCCAAGTGAGCTCACTCTATCTTGAGTTAACAAGGAAAATATCACAGTTTTTGGCCCAGTAATAAAGTTTTTTTTACTTCACTGTGGTCTTTAATAATGGAGCATAACTCAATATGTAAGGTAATTCACCTGTGAGGTTTTATGAAGACAACAAAAGGAAAGAAATATACATTTATTTTTTTAATAAATGTGTAAAAATTAAGAAAATAAACTATAATTTTTCTATACATAGTTCTGCATTTCCTGAAATTCACAGCTTATATTATAGATATATAAAAATAAATCTTAACTGTCATACTTTGGACAATATTTGTAACTGACATGAAAATATTTATATCTTGGGCACAAAAAGAAATGGTTCACTCCTTCTCTACAGCTATTTATATCAATGCATAAAATTTAATAAAAGAAACATATCCTCTATACAGTACTTTGCACAGTATAACATATTTTATAAATACCTGTATACACCAAACAAAACTTTATTCTTTATCACAGGAAATAAATTCAATTTTTGAAAATCACAGCCTTTATGTATATTATAAATATTCATCCCCCACAAATAATTACCTGCCATACTTATGACAGCTTTTGTAAACAAAAAAACCTTTGTCAAAATAAACACATGTATGTTTATTTCCTTCAAATAAAATTAGTTGAATATGTAAGAAATAGAACGAATAACTTTTACTTTAGATGCCAATTTCTGAAATATTACAACATCATTCATATGTTTTAGCCATGGCATCATATGCAGCTCCTGCTTTCCTTAAAACACTATCTAACAAATCCAAAGAATTATTCAATTTTTCATGTGTCTTTTCAATTGCAGTTTGTTGTAGTTTTTGTGTTAACATCATTTTTTTTTTCAGTTTCATTTCCTCCTCATGCTCCCTATTCAATCTGTACAACTTAGATTTATGTAACTCTTCTTGTCTTTTATCACACATTTCATAGACACTTGTCACCCTCCTAGTTCGCCTTGGTTTGCTCCTTGGCCGAGAACCAGATGCCCTGGACACTGAATAAAGGTGTTGGTTGGAAGCATGAGCAGGAGGGGGTGAGGCAATATCACTCGATAGTGAGTCAGGGGCATTGACTGCCGAGGCAGGAGCAATGTTTGGTGAGGCAGGAGCAATGACTGGTGAGGCAGGAACAATGACTTGTGAGACAGGAACAGGGTGAAAATAGAGGTCAATAAACAGTAGATGGAACTTCAGTAAATTGTGCAGAAGACACAGATGATGGCCCTGGGGTAGGACCAGGTAAAACAAGTGGATCATAGCTGGCGTTGAATGAAGCAGTAATTTCATCCCAGGCCTTTCTTTTCCTATAATTTATGGTGTTGCTTGTAGACCTATCCTCAATGATTGGCCTTTGCTCAATATGGCGCAAAAGTGCCATACGTTGGGTTTCAGACAGAGCTGCAGAACGTTCTCTTACTACCTCCATGTTTGATAACCCGCGCGCAAACATTGTTGCCAAGTACTCAGATGAAAAAATTATCTATTTTGTTTCGAACAGATAATAAAGTTCAATTTTATAAAAAAATATATTTTACAATATATTATTGTGCCGGTATAAAATAACAACTAAATATCTCTCAAAATCGTCTTTCTAATTATGTGAAATAATACATTTGGCACACGCGCATGGCCAAAAAAATTTTTGCCATCCGACACGAGCTGCCGTGTTGACACGCTCATGTAAGGGTCTAGGAATATGGCACTCAGCGTTGGGTGGTTGCATCCCGACACACGATCATCGAGATGATGATCGTGATCGTCATTATCGTCGTAATGACTAGGAATACGGCCCTAAGACCCATGACATAGTTGTAAGAGATACAGGCGTTAATAATTTTTCTTCTCTCACACTCATGCCATCCAGCCGTCAGCCCTTGCATTTTACTCCTCACAGATACCTCCCAACCATCAGTCCTCACCTTTTCCTCCTCACAGATGCTCCTCAAGGTCCAGGTACTACCCGCTGTAGTGTGACAGGCGGAGCAACTCTGTTTGTTGCAGTCTGTGTCCAACAATCCAAGTTCTCTTATGATGAGACAGTTTTGGTATATGCCTCCATCAGGGTTACGTATCTTGAAGTCCAGCTGACTCTGTGAGGGCACAAATAATGTGAGAAAGAAAGAGGGTGGAGGAGAGAGAGAGAGAGAGAGAGAGAGAGAGAGAGAGAGAGAGAGAGAGAGAGAGAGAGAGGAGTGGGAAAGTGTAAGACAGAGAAAGAGAGTGGTGGTGGTCATGGCGACGGTAACGGCGGCGGCAGCGACGGCGGCAATCTCTCTGCTTAGGTCTGCATTGCCTTGCCTTATAGTAGAGCGGATAATGGAAAAATCGTGCAAATGGTGATACGTGTATAATATGGACACGAAGTAGTACCTTAAGCTGTGTATTCGTATATTACTCTATTAAATATGTACAGTAAAGTATTACAGAACATGTATTAATCCTATGTAATATTTCCATTTATTATGCACCATGTTATGTATGTGAATTATCATATCTACATTTTATGTATTCAGCTTGTGAATACTGGCATCTGTACATGCCAGCGCGGAGTGATACAGAGAGTTGAGATCGCTAGTCCTTATGGTGTGGAAGCCGACTGTCTATTTGTTCCCTCTGTATATCTCCCGTACGAGAATAAGAACCTATTTTCAAGATAACAAGTGTTTGTGTATACCCTCAGTAGTGTAGAACATTTTGGGGGTATCAAAGACAAACATAGAATACAAGCATGAAATTTGGCTTGATCATACCCTAGGGCTACTTGTCAAATCTGCCTGATTGGCCATTTGAAAATTCCAAGATGGCGGCTATTTTTCAAGATGGCTGCCAAATTGACCTTCGAAAGATGGTTTTCTCTTAAGAAATTGATGTAATTGGTCAATCTAAATGATCTTAGTGTCGATATGTATGTTTTCAAGCATGCTCATATTATTTTTTTCTATTTCTGATACTCTCAGATATATATTTATCTTATTTATGACTGGTTTTATGTACTGGTTTTATGTTTTTTCCATCTAGGTGAGGGTAGCATGCAGAGGGTCTCTGCATGTGAGGGAGTGATTGTCGGGCACGACCATGGAACACTGGTGACATCACTGCTGTGCAACCCAGCATGGGGTTCAGTGTCAGCTAAGAAAA